TCCCTTCGATGAGGTTAAAGGGGCATGGTTGCAATGCGACAATGCAGAACCCGGACAGCCTGAGGAGATCGAATGGATCAGGTTACTCAATAGAGAACCCGACCCTGGAAGCTACCTTGTTCTGGAGTCCAAATACGGAAACCCGATCATGACTCCACGCTATCAAAAGCTTGAGAGTTTAGCGATTGAGGTCCAGGACGATACCTACTCCGAGGACGACGCCAAAATCTCAAAGCTGTTGGGCATGATCGAGGAGAGTGGTATCTACCCAGAATATGATAGCACTGAGTGGCAGGAGATCTTTGAGGAGATCGTATATCGCCGAGCAATGAAAGACTACGACTCAAGACCGTGTCCTAACTGCCTTGGGGAAGTTGATGTGCGATTGACGATATGTCCGCACTGCGTAGCGGTTTTGATCGCGAATGGGAAGCTCACGCATGTCGTGCCCAAGGAGACAAGGGACCGCAATCAACGATCACCTCCGAGAGATGCTCCAGCCAGTTCATCCGGTGAAGCAACTTCTGCTGCAGGTGCAAACATCGATGAAGTCATCAAGAATGCACGCAAGACAGCCGAGGAAGTCATTGACGTCGAGGAATCCGAAGGAGAGGAAGACGAGGAAGTTCCTATCATTTTGAAGGAACGACCGGACGAAGCTGAAGGCGAACCCGAATATCGGGAGGTCCCTCAAGATGGATACGGGAATGAACTTCCACAGCCTTTCCCCTTCGCAATTGACGAATTGCCGCAAGAAGCTGCGATCCCCATCGACCACAACTTCGCAGTCACACAGCAATTTGATCTGAGGTTGATGAAGTTGATCAAGAGCTTGGCCAACGCAACGTTCGACATCAATTGCTTTGAGAGTCGTGAAGACGTACTGCGAAAGTTCGACGATGGACAGCGGCATGACACTCCATTCAATAGATGGCCATTAGTACCGAATGATCCGGATACTGGGTTTCCAAGACGCCTTCAGAGAGCCGAGGTCGTGGGCATGAGCAAATGGACCAACGACACGTATGCAACAGAAGCGTGGCAGATCTATGAATTCCACGCCCATGTTATTCACCCGATGATGATCACTGCAATCCGCTGTGGGCTTAGCCACAAGTACCTCAAGGAGGTCGGCAGCACTCGGCGTAACATGAGTGATCCAAAGGCTCGAAGATCTGAGACCCAGGAAGAGATCATCGAGAAGCTGGCATTCATCTCAAATTTCATCAGACGCTTGATTAGGAAGACCTTCGGAGCGAGCCGATACAGCTACTACCAGAAGCCAGATGACGAAGGTGCCGCTCCATACAAATTCATTGACATTAGCCCCGCCATCAAATCGGAGCGGAAGAATGTCACAAAGGAGATCCTCGTTGCATGCCGCTACTATGGCATAGAGGTATCCGATATCCAAACACAGAAATTGAAGCTCTTTGAGGAGCAGATCCGAAGGGGAAACCCAAGGAACGTTGAGCTCATCAAGGACTACATTGGTTTTGTCGGAGCTGACTACATGCGACAACTCACGAATGGTTGAGCATTGGGGTCATGCCGACATACTACTTCCAGTACTTCACGTACTGAGGGATCTTGGGTAATTCATGATGACCATTTTGGCATCATGGGAGTGAGATAGGATTGTGTTTCACACCGTCGGTAATCGCATGATACCACAGGTAGATGCACGTTTTCCGTTTGTAGCTCCGTTACCTGTTTGATCCATCTTTCAAGCGAATGCAAGATCGTTTGCTAATTCAGTTCTATAGGACATACTGGTTGACCTCCAACGCACTTTTGAGAACATGATTGTTCTCCGGTTTTTTACATCCACTCATCTCCCTTCCCCGTCGAAGCACGGATGTGGGGGGTGTCAATAGGGATGAGGTCTCAGTATAGTTGCTATACAGGTACTTGCCATATACTTTTGGCTCAAGTGCCCAACCAGGTAAAAGGGAGCTTTAGCGCGCGAGCTTCATGTTGACCTAAGAGCTAGAACGGGGCCAGGGCACACCTTTCCATCCGTTCGCAAAGACAACCAGGCAATAAGTGTTTGACCGTCGCTCAGGTGTTTTCTCGCCCATCGGATTCGCAGAGCGGAGACCGACCGACCGACGTGCTGCCACCAGGTCGAGCTTCGACTTGCCCGGCTCTCAGCGAAATCGAGGAACAGCGGATGAGGTTCGATGATGCGGACCAAGCGGGACGAAGCCAATAAACTAGAACATCGTCCCAGTCTATAGGACTTCTCACTAAGGACTCTGCAATAGCTGACGTAGCTGACGTTGGCCATTCAGTTAGTTGGTGTGTATTGTATGCGTTTGTCGATCAGTTCTTTGTGCGAAACATGATCTGACCTAGAGGTTTTGGCTGAAAGATGCTGCCAGAGGTTTGCGGCGTTTGGACAATTTGCCATAGTTTGTTTGTGTTGCTTTTTGGGGGGGAAGGAGGACAGTGGCTTGGGGTCTGAGAAGGAGTGGATCCGCGCCCCCTGCGCACTGAGCATGTTCGGCGTTTTGGAGCCTCCAAGGAACCAGAAAGACATGGATGCTTTGCCCCCCAAAACCATTCACAAACAGTTTCCAGTACAGTTTCCATCTCAAATTATCGTTGTTACTTGTTCCTGTTTTTGGGTTTTTTTTGCACCGAATCCTGGGATGCAGGGCTAGATGGCTTGAGATCGCCCCGCCAGCCCTGCGGATTCCCATGCTTTGAGGCGTCCGCGCACGGCACCCTTCTCGCGGGAGCGTGTCGGGGATGCCCGAGGGGCGGTTCCGATCGGATGTCGTAAGGGCTTTCGGAGGGCTGGGGGGTCTTACAGGTCCAGTTCTGGTCCAAAGCGGGACCTGTAGACCTCATTGAGTAGTGCTTTTGAAATGATCAACTTCATTAAAATGAGCTCCAACTATGTCCCACTGACCCCTAAGAGGGTTAGGATGGGTTAGGTGAAGGTGTTCTGGAATTTTTGGATCGGAAGCCAACTTTTGGGAATTGTTCAACAAGAGTGAGATACAATGCCCATTCAGTGAGAATCTGAGATGCAATGACATTCACATTCCAACTTTGGGCATTGAGATACATAGACATGCGACATGGAATCCAATGCCTGGAAGAAGAGTCACCTGAAGGCCTTGGACAGAAACCATTTCCAGTCGGATCGAGGGGGCCCGGCGCCTCTTCCAGGACAGGTTGGTTGCCTTCTATTGAATCTATTGATGGGATATCCTCCCAGGAGGGGCAGTTTGGTGTTCACTCCTTGGTGGATGAGCTGATGAGCTACTGTCCCAAGTGATCCTGTTCAGCCTCCACACCAGTCAGGTCCTCAAATTGAATCTCCAAATGGATCCAAATGGAGTCTCAAACTTTTGGATGAACTTGCGCAGACTTTCTGGAAGTAGGGCCCGGACGTTGCCAGTAAACCTTCCGTTATGACTTCATGCCATTTCTTCCTGGGTGACTGGTACCGGAGCTCTGCAGACCTCTCCTGAAATGGGCCAGACGCTCCGATTGCTCGGGTTTCCCAGGGAGGGAGGCTGAGGGTGCGAAGACGAAGACAAACACGCGGAAAAGGGATTTTCGGAGAAGCAGGTGGCTCATGGATCTGAAATGGATCTGAAATGGCAGGTCTTAGGTCTTATGTTCTTATCATATAAATGATTTTGGGCGAGGGACGGGTTGATGTTCGTCCATTTCGGTTCCTATATATGTGAACTGTGTTGAATCATGTTGAATCCACGACCGCCAGGCCTGAGACTGTGGGACATCTCCAAGAAAGGTCGGTCAAGGTCACCCTGAGAGCCAAAAAGAACTATGCCCTCTAAAGAGACCCACCATGGAACCTGAAAACCGGTTTTGTAGAGGAAAACAGTCTTTTTGCAATACCTGGTGGGCTAAGGGGTGGGTGCAAGCGGCTACCCAACGTACCCAATCCGTGCATATCGTCGTTCAGGTTGCCATTCGACCCGGGTCCCTGTTTGTTTTGGTTTTAGTCCTGAATCGAGGATTCAAGAGTTGCAATTCAGACGGCGGGCGCGTTCGAAGTTGTTTGGGCATTTTTCCTTGAAGAGTTTGCTGCCCTTGATCTGAGGTCAATGGGCTTTGGCTGCTGCACCCCCTTAGAGCGCACCGGCTTAGGAGCCGCGGTTAGCCGCATCCAGCCTGGGGTGACCGGGTGCGTGCGTGCGCTGGGCTGGTGTGATCGGGTGTGCCGCGCCTGGCAAGACTCACAACTGTGTTTTATGTTTCTCCCCTTTTGCAGGATTGAAACATAAAACACAACTGTTTTTTCCCCCTCAATCCCCTTTTGCAGACTCACAACTGTTTTATGTTTCCAAGAGTCATGCAACAGGATTGAGGGGGAAGGGGGTTCCCAGATGTTCCCCTTTGCACGATCATGCACGAGTTTTTGCGGGGACGATGACCTGAAGGGCTGCTAGTTTGACCTATTGCAAACCCCTGATTGGAAAGGGATGTTGGACTGAAACGTCCGGTCCAAATGAATGCAACGCTTTTCCTTGTGGGTTTGGTTTTGAACTGGGCTGTTGATCTTAAGAGAGGAAGTTGCGGGCTTTCAAGTTGCTGGAGCACGTTTTTTGGGGGGCTTGAGCTGGATCACTGGCTCACAGGAAGGCTACGTATGTTCACCATGTGTAAAACCGTCGGCCCATCCACAGAATGGGAACATGCATGCCCCCCATCCGCAGAATGGAACATGTTCCTATTTGGGGCCCGAAGCACTCGAGACTGGACTCCTAGGGCTGGAAGCCTGTCCCAGAACTCTCGTTCATCCCAGAACCACTATGAACACGTCTGCTATTCATGGGCGAAGGTATCCTTCAGCCGAAGCGAAGCGAAGCAAGCAACCAAACCAAACCAAACCAAGCCAAACCAAACCAAGCCAAGCCAAACCAAACCAAACCGAACCAACCAACCAACAAACAAACAACAACTCAAGCAAAAAGGACCACCAACCACTAAGCATCCACACATATCCACACCGGAACAGCTGCACCCACTCCACTGTCCGCCCACTGTCGCGCCATGCGGCTCTTGCGCGGCGCCACGGCCCCCGCCGTCCTGCTGAGCGTCGCCGCTGGTGCTGGTGGCCCGGGGCAGTGCAGTGCGCAGGCACGCGGTGTGTTCCGGTGGACGAAGGAAGGAAGGAAGGAAGGAAGGAAGGGTTAAGGAGTGTTGAGGTGTTGGGTTTTAGTGACCCATGTCTTCATAGATGACTGGTTTGACTTCAGGAGAGTGCGTTGTGTGCATCTCCCTTATTATGAGATCAACAAGAATTGAGTTTGGGATTGATTATTAAGTATTACTATATATTAAGTAAAGATTTGTGAAGTATGCAGTATAGAAATAAAACCGGTCAACCGAGCAACGCTGCAAAGAAGAACCCTTGAACACTCGAAGTACAAAGTTGGAAGACGCAAAAATATTTGGGCGGAACCTATTTGGCTAAGACATCAGGATGCAGTGGATGCAGTAAAGCCAGAAAACCAGTGAGGGATGACAATGTAAAACAAGCTGAGGCGACATGTATTCCCTTGTGCTGCGATTCATTTTGCTTGGGAGTAGGTAATGCGTCAAAACCCGCTTCCTCACACAGAAGCTCGGGGAAGGTATTACACAGAGAGGGATAGAGAGAGAGGGAGAACCTCCCCGAATCGCATCGAGTCACTCCAGCTTGGACGCCAGGAGGGCACCTGCGGCAAAGGCAAGCTGAAGCTAAGGAGCGACCAGAAGGCAAGCAGCCAAAACAAGCACCTCAAAGCACAAGCGAAGTTGCCACAAAGCCCCAATGCCAATGCACAACTACAGTGCACAGGTCTAAGGCAAGTTCCCAGACGGCCAGCACATCTCCTATGGTCCTATGCCACTATGCGATGAACGGTGGAACGGTGCAATCTCCCGGCGGTCGGGTCATTGACAGTTGCAAGAGTATATAGATAGGTGGCGTTACTTAAACCTCCAAGTTGGGAGGTTTAAACAAATATGGATGCCAATATGCAGAGACATTTTGGGGTGCCAGTGCCATCTACTCGGTAACCAATCTACTGGTCACTTTATTTGTTCTTTGGGGAAGTGAGCGAGACGTGTGTTCAACCCTAGCTGAGCTACTTCATGGGATTTCGGCAAGAAGATCTATGATTGCGGTCGACCTCCAACCGGACCCTTGTAGCATCTTGTAGCTGTTAGGTTCGGAATCTTTCAGCGAAACGAACCTTGGAAAGCCCACGAACTATCCGAAAAGATCGATTAGATCCACGAACCGCCCTCGAACCCACGAACCGCCACAGTGCGGCTCGGCCACGCCCACGAACCGCCAGTTCGTGCGTTCGCGCGTTCGGTCGCCGAGCCGAGCGCGTGCTCCTTCGCCGCTAGGAGATGCGCTCCACCTGCTGGGCATGATTTGGTACCATCGAGGACGGAGTTTGGCGGACTGAACGTAGGCCAGTCAGTTCAGCACAATTAGACTTCAGCCGCAAGGTTCAGCAACTGGCAATTTGTTTTTGGATTTGGTGTGCCTTTAGCATTTTAGCCATCCGGTGGTGTGGGGTTCTAATGACTGCGATACATCCTAAACTTCTTGTCATTAAAGAACTGTACCTTGCTAACGGCTAACGGACCAGAATATAAAAATATATAAGAATTATGGAGAATATAATGTCAAGAGTTGTCTGGCCAACCACACAATGATAAATTCAAGTTAACCGTTTGGATCCGTTTGGTAAACCTCCATGGTTCAACATTCCTTCCGGTGCATAATCCGATGCTTACGGATTCTCACTCACTCCAATGCCAAGATTGATCGAACAAGTAACACCCACTGAAAGCTAAGCTCTGTAGGAACGCATCAAAATGGGTTCCAAGCATCCGAGGCTTAAAGATGAGGCAGACATCTTTCATCATTCACATGTTACAGACCACTTCACATGCCAGGCCACCCATGTCACGCCAGGCCACCCATGCCCAGCCCTTTTCTCCTTTTTCCCGTTGCGTTTGGGCTCGCAGGAGGCTCTCCCTGAAGGCGGCGGTGAAAGCGTGCCGCCAGCTGAGCGGCTGTCGAGCCGTCACGGCCGAGGTGGGCAACGACTTCCAGCCGCAAGGCCCAGATCGACTCATTTGACTCGCATGGTAGTGGTGGATTATGACATTATGACCCACCCAGTGGGGAAAAAATGAGTCAGTGGAAGTAGGATGGATGAGATGTAGAGGCCTCTTTGGTGTAACCAAAGGCATCCCATCTCCCGTTCCTGACCGACTCCTTCAAGAATTAGCAAGACTGGGCCGGGACTGCATCCCTACAACGATTTCTTCGCAGTTTGCATGTGCATCCACAGCACTTGCAAGTCCACAAAGGCCGCAGGCATGGTGGCACCGCGGCATGTGTCGTTGAGCTCCAGACTACCTAGACAGGACACTCTAGATGATTTAAACATATTTAAAAGGGCGAAATCTAAGATCGAGTCCTAGGCTCATTTGGACAGAAAACAGCCGGTGATCAATGTGGGAACAGTGCATTTGAGAAATCCTTCCCATCGAAGGACAAGCAAGTGTCCCGCTATGCAAGCGTTTGATTTAGATTCTTGCTCTAGTTCCCTGGTCCCTGCTTGTTGACCACTGCATTACATGAGTCAAGCAGATTGAAGATAGTGGCTTCGTAAAAGCGCGCTGCAGTTGCTGCAATTTGGGCTCAGGACGAAGCATGGAAGCCCCCAAAATCACTCAGACAGGCTTCTAGCAACTGCTGTCATGCTGATGCTGCCGCAAATCCGGCGTAGGAGCTGGGTGGGGTGGCCGTGGGCATTTCTTCTGGTGGTTGTTGTGCTGCGATCACAGACCTCCGTTCCACCAGTGTGGTGGCAGCGCGGATTGTGCCGTCAACGTTTTGGCGCGGAAACGGAGCTGTTGTCGCAGCTGGCAGTGCTTTTGATGCCGAGGCGATCGATTCAGAGACTCTTCCGGCGTTTTCCACCACCAAAAAGGTGGGACGAAGAGTATTTGGAGCCAGGTTTGGTGGCTTATGGAGTGCTGCGAGATCCGGACGCCGCCTTGTTTGTGGAGTATGATGGGCTCATGGGTCATGCGACAAGGGAAAGTAAGACCAAAGACCGGAAGAACCAAGCATTGTTGGACTATGGGCCTCCGGGGTCATATGTCCTCCGCATCAGCCACACACAAAGTAGACGACTAAAGGATGGAATTCTTCAAATCAGAGTGTGTCCCTGGCGGCCACGAAACGCATCATCTCTGAAATCTACATTGGGAGAAATACTGATACTGATCGTCCAAGGACTCGGGCATGTTCTTTCTTCTGATATGGAGCGGCGCTTCAGTCGTCTAGCCAACCAAAGCTCCGTAAGCTTGTCCGCAAGGGCCCAGAAGTTCGTTCATTGGGCAATGGCTTCGCAGAACACCACCAGAAAGATTGTACATTTGTCGGAGGCCCAAGGCTTCAGCCAGAAAGACATCAATCTCATGGAGGAGCACTCCTCGTTCAGTGACGCATCCATGGAACGGAACCTGCAACCAGCCATGCAATGGCTTTCTGGCATCGGGCTCAGCAACGCTCAAATTGTCAAGACAATCGCCAGGTTCCCTGATTTCCTCCGCTACAGCATCGATGATAAGTTGAATCCAACAGTTCAGTGGCTTTTGAAGATGGGCCTCAGCAAGAGTCAAGTTGCTCAAGTTGTAGCAACCGCCCCGCAAAATCTTGGTATGAGCATCGAGCGGAATCTACAGCCAACAGTTCAGTGGCTCTTAAACATGGGTCTAAGCAAAGTTCAAGTTGCGAAGGTGATCGCAAGGAGGCCTCAAATCCTTGGTTACAGCACCGCGCACAACCTCAGGCCCAAAGTTCGTTGGCTTTTGGACATTGGCCTTAGCAAGGGCCAAGTTGCGAAAACAATATGTGATGTTCCTCAAATCTTTGGTTTGAGCATCGAGCTGAACTTGAAGCTGACAGTTCAGTGGCTCTTGGATCTTGGGCTCAGTCAAGATCAAGTTGCAAGAGTCATAGCTGGTTTTCCCTCGATTCTCAGCTACAGCATCAATCAGAACTTGAAGCCGACAGTCCAGTGGCTTTTGAATGTTGGTCTCAGCCAAGCTCAAGTTGCGAAGGCAATAGCGCAAAAGCCACCAATTCTTGGTTACAGCATTGAGCAGAACTTGAAACCGAAAGTCCAGTGGCTCTTGGATATCGGGCTTAGCAACGATCAAGTTGTGAAAGCAATCTCAACTTTTCCTCCAATTCTTGGTTTGTCGGTTGAGAACAACTTGAAACCCAAGCAAACTTTGCTCGAAGCCACCTTCGAAGCATCTGATGCCGCAGACATGATTAGCAGATTTCCTCAGATGTTCGGATATAGCTTTCAGCGCCTGTCCTCTCGCTTACGGGTTCTTTCAGCAAGAAATCAGACGCGCCAGCTGATAGGAGCCATGTCATTGACGGAAGATGGCTTCAAAAAACGTTTTGAGCACGAGTCAAACTAGAAGGCGCCTTGCTTGGCAGCCCTAGTGCGCCGGATCCGATTCTCATCCATTCTCCCTACTCTACAGCAGCAGGAATTGTAGCCAAGTTGTTTCTCGCCAGCAACTTGACAGGATTTACAGAAGGGTGCGCATTTCAATGGGGAGACCCTATTGAAATACAAACCCAAATGTTTGGCAAGCTGATGCCAGACTTCCCCGATCTGCCAAGCGACAAGAAAAACAGAGGGTTCAGGGTCTTTTGTGCAGACGATCAGCTCACAAGGATTGCCATCATCCACTGGGCCCTGGATCGGCCCAATGCTTTGTCCATCCCTGTCCTGAAAGACGGGCCTCTCGCTTCCCCCTGGCCACGGCCAAGGCGAGAGGCAGACTACGAGTGGCACTTCAAAACGACGCGCCTGGGCCAGCGTGACCAACCGGGGGGCCATATATGGCCAGTCACCCTCCCTTCAACAAGCATGGAACTGGAACACAGCCCCGAAAGGAAGACTGTTTTCCTCTACTAACTGGAGGTTGTCCACCTCCATGATTGTTTCAGGGAGGGTGTAGACGCAGCATGGTTAGGGTTCCAAGGATGCAGCCACACCTGGACAGTTCAGGCTCCTCTCCGATCCCAATCCCCATCGACCCCCACTGAATGGCCGTGACCAGACTCAAAACTCTGGGCTCAGTCTTCCCGCGTGGTGCTTGATGTATGTTTATGTCATCAAGCGTTCGGGCTTCGTCGCCGAGGTCGGAGCCTTGCAAAGGATCCCAGGAGAGTCGCACGGTGGAGGTGGACCACGTTGAGGCAGTGGGGATCCCGGTGGCCGCATGGCCCTGCAATTGGGGTGGGTGCAGTTCTTGGCCTTTTTGGCGGGGTCAAACAGAAAAATGACACCGAACTGCCTCCGAAATCCATCCAGTCATATCCAGTCAATCGATTTGGTTGACGGGCGTTTTTTTGCACTTTTGGAGCTGAACGATTTGAGGCCATGTGCTCCCTACAAAGCAAGACCCACTATCGCCGTTGTTGGTTGTTTCTCGGGGGCTATGGCCACTGGACAGCCTGTGAGATCATATGAGCTCATCATAGGGCGAAGGTCCAGCACAGTGAGTGCGTGTTTGCCATGGGCAATGAAAAGCAACTGGTTGGTTCTACATGGTTCTATACCATAGTCTACCTCAGGCTGAGCCTGCTGGCTTCCTGGCCTCCTCATGCATCTTCTAAAATCGTTCCCAATCTTAATGCCAACCTCTTGATTAATCAGCAGGGGACTCCCCCCACATCATATCAGTTCCTAGGTCAAGGGTCAACATTCGTTCCTTTTGGGGCTCAACAGCGACCGCACGGCACGTCGCTCGTCTTCCGCACGGGCCCTTCTCAGGGTCAAAGTCGCTCGTCTTCGTGGCGGCCACGACCCGGGCACGAGCTGGAGAGCGTGGAACTGGTGCCGGCGGGTGGACGTCGAGTTGGGTGTTTTTGGAGGGTCCCTGCTGACCATGTGGTGGTGGAGTCGTGGAGATGTTTTTTATATTGCTGTTGGTCAAATACTAGAGGCCTATACCAGGGTAGGTTGACTCAGCAGGTAGTCTATTCTGTTCATTCTTTGTGGTCAGCCAGGATGTCCCAGTTGTTGCCCACAGCCATATATAAGATTATATAAGCTATGGTTTCAATGTTTGCCGTGCTAGACTTTGCCAAAATGATATCTCAACATACTACTCTCACTACACGCTTGAGCTAAACTCGATCGTGATGCTCTGCTGGCCAGTCCCCACAAATGAGGCCCATGCATGCCGACCGTTCTTCGGCAAGGAACATGAAAGAGGAGTCTAGGGCCCAGTTGAACAAAAATTAAAGGACCCTGATAAATTGTGAGAAGAATGAAAGGGTCTTCGTAAAGAACTAGATTGGCGTTTAAGGGGCAATGAATTGTCGGACAATGTTTTAAAGGAAAATGACTTGATTTAAACAGAACATGAGCATGAACGGATTAAAGCCTCATCCAGCCTGGGTATTCAGAACTACTACACAACCTAGAAAAGATGCTGATGTTAGGATATGTTAGGTGTGATGTTATTCTCTACACAGCTGCAACTGACGTGCATGTTTGCTAGTGTGGATGCTGGCAAGCTGGAGGCCATTATTCCGGGAGGGGGCGGGTATTGAACCGCTGGAGGTGTCGCTCTGAGGTGTCGCTCTTGAACCGAGGCTTTCGACCCCGTTCCAGGTACAGCAAGACCCGCCCGTCTTGAGACTTGAGGCTTTCCTCTCGGCCACTAGGCGTTCCACTGGGCATGGTGGGCGGTTCCGCGGTTTCTGCGCCTTGGGGGTGGTGCTTTTGCTCCGCCCGCCATTGCGAGAATGAGACTGGAGTTCATGTTGCCGATGGAATTGGGGAGGAAGGCCATCTTTGTGGAGATGAGCAGTTGAAGGTTGATGAACTCGAGGTTTGCCAGACACTGATTGATTCTGCAATGCTGACAGTGAGTTCTTGGCCGCTATACGCTGGAGAGACAAAATTGGACCCCAGACATCAATCTGTCCACTTGAAGAGAACGTGTAGATTGACCAAAAAGTTGCTGTCCAAGATGAGCTGCCCAAATTGAATGGCCCCTTGGAAGACAATTTTCCTCTACCAACCCAGTGACAAGCTGGGTCTGAAACCACCATGAGGCACTCAACCCACTTTTTGAAGGAGCCTTTTTTTCAACCGATGCACAGTTCCACAGTTCTGCGCACGCAAAATTACGCGCGGTGGAGGAAAGTAAGCCGGTGACGGTCGGTGAGGTCGCAAACGAGGTCGCTTTACATGAAGCAATCTCTTTGTTGGGCCCACCCTTATCTCTTGTGTTTTCTTGGGTTGTGGTCATTCCGTTCTCATGTTCACACCCAACCAACCCAATCCAAATCACCAAATCTTCAGCCCCTTTCTTTTCGTTCGGCGCCCATTTTGCGTGCCGTGCGTCTCAAGGATGCTGAGATTCAGCACATCAAGAGCCTGGCGCTCCCTCGTTTCGTCCAGTCCACCGTGGGAATGACCTACGCCGCTCGACGGTCGGGAATGACCTACGGTCGTCAATTTTCGGGTGCGGCGCGTGTGAGAAACCACATTTAGTGCACACTTTACTACAGTGTAGATAATCAATAAACCCCCCATATGAAGAGGTGTTGCAACTCAAATGGGGTGGTTTATTAATCAAGAGTGTCAAGAGTCTACAGTAGTCTATGGCATGCTCTAGTTGCTTGTCTATGTCATCAGATATCATCAGTATTCGGTCGTGAATGAGATAGGGCCCCCACATAAACAAGATAATACATGATATTATGTTTTGGTGACACTAAAGTATACCAAAGTAGTCTGAACGAGATACTGTGACATGACCTCCTACTTAATAAGTCTAATCGAGCTAGGCCCCCCACATAGTAGACATTTGTGATTAGTGTATTTGAGTTTAGCACTGAATAAAAGCCCTTGGCGAAAAAGGAGACTTGTTACTTTGATTTCAGAACAGGTGCCATTTAGACAGACTCAAACTCATGCTGTAATATGCTGCAATTGCTGCAGTCTACTGTAGCCTGATAATGCGTGATTGGTATATATAGATGTTTAGTGCATATCCGTGATGCCGCAGCAAGTATAGATTTAACGTGTTCGTCGTGTGATATTGGTGCCCCCCTCCCACCCAAAAACCCGCACAATTGACAAGTATGAAGAACAAGAGAAAGTCCAACCCTTTGACAAACAGAGATGGGTCGGTCTTCTGCCTCAACACCACATATTAATGGTCAGCTTGGCAGCTCGGCATTTCATTACTGTCCTGCTTCCAGCCGTTGGAGGGTTTGGAAGACGATCACTGTCCACAAGTTTGCTGCCATGCGATGTCTTGCGTGATCAGGGGAGTCTCAGCCAACAAGGCAGCAAGTTGGGGACATTCCTGGCCAAACCAGGCCAGATACAAAACAAGAGGACCTGATGATACAAGAGACCAACGGTCAGAACCTGGAACGGTCAGACGAACCCTTGTAGGGTCCTAGAGGTCCACTCTAACCCCAGCACCTGGTCCTGAAAACCAAAAATTGTGTGTGTGTGTGTGTTTTTTATAAGTATATAGTGGATTGAGAGTAGATGGCACAAACCGCAATGTCGGTGGTTTATATGGACCCCCATCTGTCTAGGACCTCTTGGGGTGCCAGTGCCATCGAACCTCTGAAACCACTGTAACCAACATCAGCACTGGTTAGAAACCATGCCGTGATGGCGGTACCACATCGGGACGGGACGGAAGAAGAGAGCCTGACATCAAAGGATCCCAACATCCACTGGGCCCTCGTAAATGGGACATGCCCAATATCGCCACTGACTAAAGTTGTTTTTGGTCCTTCAAGTGAGTTGAAAGCACCAAGCAGACTGATCAACTGCGATGGATTTTACCAGAGCCCAATATGACTCACCACAGATATACATGAAGTCCGCACCGGTGAGGCTCCGAATTCCATGCCGCGCCACACGTGACGTGCCTGACTCACCGCGCGGAACGCCACCAGGAGGCGGGTCAGACTCGGACCTCCGAGACGGCTTGGCTGAACGCGCTTCAGGAGTGGGTGTTTCCTTTGAACGGGGGGGGGGGGCAGGGACACGGTGAAAACCCTTACGCCTCCGTCGTTGGGGCCACGGGGGAGGTGGGAATGGTGATGTATGTAGGCCTGGTAGGCCAAACGGTGACGGACACTGATGGACATGGGGAAATGAAGTATGTGTTTTGTTTGATGCTTTTGGTGTTCTTTGTGGTACTGCGCCATGAAACATCAGGGAAACCCAAGGAAAGATGGTGTGTCTTCAACTCTCCTGCCGAAGGGACTTTTTCACCAGTTGATTCCTGAAACTGTGCCACAAACAGAAGCGTCCTGGTGGTACACGTGCCGGCTTTATATAACTTTCCAGGTGAAATAGTGTCCCAGATTAGTGACTATAGGCTTAGCAACTCCATGGACTTCATGGTGTGGTCGTGCATGGCGATGCTTTCCTTCATCGCCATCGTCTCCGTGCTGCGATCGTTGTTGAGAACAAGAAGCCACACGATCGCCATCGCCACCCGTGGGTGGTTTTCATGTGGTTGATTTGACTTCTTTTAGGGAGGGGCATCTACATGATCTAAGCAAAAGCATCATGAGACACTGTACTTACCACGGCATTGGCTCGGTGTCGACCACGGCTTGGTCGTGCCAAGGACGGGTTGGTTCCGACCAACACCCGTGAAGAACATGGAAACCAGTGGCGTTTTCTCGTGGACAAAAACTGGAAGAACATGGAAGAAGAAATACTGAAAGATTATAGACTTCATTAATTTTGCAGTGTTTTAATGTAGTCCCTTGATTTATAAACCCCCCCCCTGAAAAGTAGAGCCTACCTGTACAGGGTTCCACTCCAACAGCCGATATAGTGTGTCCATGCTTGACTGCTTCAAGGCTCAAAGAGCAAGAGGATAAGACTCTGCGCATAAAAGACACTAGCGGTCTGCACCTCTACCATGTACGCCCTAGTCACTCTTTCAGTGGTAGCGGAGCAGTGATCCTGGAAGACCCAGGTGAGCTCCTTTCCTAGGCATAGAATTGCTAGTGGGCAAACAGCCATGGATTGGATAGACGACTGGGAAGAGCCTGATGCGGATGTGGCTTATGAGCCAGCAGCCTACGTGAATAGGCATGTGAGAAGAGAACCAGCAGCAATAGCAATGACAACACAGGTCACTACAAAGGTGCCCCCATCTTATGATGGAAAGACTTCATGGTTTTCCTATGAGGATGCCATAGACGATTGGTGTGATATCACCGAGCTGGAAGATGAGAAAAGAGGACCAGCATTGAGAAACAGATTAGAAGGAGAAGCAGCTGTATACAAGCGTGTTTTAGACAGAGATGCATTGAAGGCAAATGATCCACCAGGAGCCGGCGTAGAATATTTCAAACGAGTACTACGACCATATTTCGTGAAAGGATCAACCAATGTATTCCTGTATAGGTTCATGCAATTCGTGCGCTTCAATCGAGGATCAGCTGACATGATGAAATGGATGACAAGATTCCAGATTTTACTCCAAAGGCTTATGAGCAGTTGGATGGACATGTTAGAACCAGTCACTCAAGCACATCCACAAGTCCTAGCTCAGATGCAGGCAGATGCAGCATTGACTGGAACAGCACCAACGGCAGAAAGGATTCAGGAAATCATGCAGACCATCAATGGCAACATGAGGACCTTTCATCAGAACGAATTTCCTCTAGGAGAAAATCTCATTGCCTTACTCATGCTGTCACTTGCAGATTTGTCTCAGGACCAGCGAAACACTTTGACTTCATTGATGACTCATCGTGGCAGGGTCCTGCAGCAGTATACTACAACAGAGTTGAGGACAGTGTTCATCGAGATGTTCTGCACAACAAAGACTTCAGTAGACAATCCTTTGATGCAGCCGACAGGTGCTGGAGGTAGAAGATCATTTCTCGTACTAGACGAAGGAGAACTCGATGGTACATTTGGCTATTGGGCCGAAGATGAAGAAGATGGAACTGAAGGATTTTTAGATGCCCTGGACGATGTCTTTTGGGTATATGATGATCAAAACTTCTCATGGTTCCAAAGGAGATTCCAAGGAAGAAGAGCCAGAAAAGGCAAAGGAAAAGGAAGAAGAAAAGGAAAAGGCAAAGGAAGATCAGGCCGCAGATTCTTCAGACCTCGTGGAAAAGGAAAAGGAAAGAGACGAGGTAAAGGCCATTTTGCTGATGAGCAACAGACAACATATCCAGAAGAGTACTTTGAAGAGAATCCTTATGAGGACACTTGGGAGTCAAACCAAGGAGCATATGATGCTATTCTTGCCGAAGATATGAATGACTATCTTCAAGGAGAATATGATGATGCCAATGACTTTTGGCAACAGCTTGAAGAAGCGTGGTTTTCCCACAGAGGAAAAGGAAAAGGCAAGAGAAAAGGCAAGAAAGGAAAAGGAAAAGATAAAGGAGATGGCAAACAAGATGCAAACTATGCAAATCCACAACAGCCACGTTCTTTACCTGCACCTTCAAGATCTTCACAAGCATCAGGAGGTCAACAAGGTTTCTTTGCACATTGTGTGACAGCAGCAGCTGAAGTCCATGACAGTGAGGTGGACTTGCTGTCAGGCATGATGACCTCATGTCAAGATGAAGCTGACTGCGCGGTCAACAATGGTGAGACGATCTTCAATGGCATGGGTGCCCCTGTGAGGTACTCTTTGTCAAAGGAGATGCTCACAAAGGCTCCTGATGGCTTTGCGCTTATGAGCGCTGAGGAAGAAGTGAAGGAGATGCAGGCCATTTCATTTTTGACTGAGAATCGCTTCCCGCCGACTATTGCAATCCTGGACATTGGATGCACTAGAGCTATGGGATCAAGGCGAGCAGTCGACCATTTTTGCAACTATGTCGACAATCACCCAGATTGTGGATTATGGTACTCCTTTGAGGCTACCAAGAGCAAGTTTTACTTTGCCAATTCCCAGAAGGCTACTTGCTCTCAGAAACTGGTGATTTACATGTATGATCGTGCATGGACGATCCACCATACAGAGTTCGACATAGTGGAAGAAGGAGAAGTCCCTTTGCTTATGAGCTTGCCACAGATGAGGAACTTAGGCTTTGAACTCAGGCTGACACCTCAACATGCTTATCTGACATCGGTGCCTCTTGGTATCAAATATTTGGAGTTGAAGGTTGCAGCCAGTACTCATCTTGTCTTGGACTTCCAAGATATTGCATGGTATCTGTCTGACGTGAATTTGCAGACTCGGCGCGAGAAGAGTTTTTACTCTCACTTCACTCACTATGAATATGGTCATATTTCTGTTGACCTCAATAGTGATGAAGATGTAGCTGAACATGCATATCCTGTGGTTGACTACTGGGAAGTAGATGTTCACAAGAGAGAACTGATACGTCACCACAAGGATTATAGAAAGATTCTTTTTCCAGCAACTAAGTCCTGTCCTGTAGACACTGACTTACTGGAAGACTTGCGACTGACAATCATCAAGAAGAAGAAAGGAGGAGAAGAAATCAAGAAGCTAGATGATTGGCGCAAGGCAAAATGGAAGGACCTACAAATTGGCTATGAATGGCGTGGTAGAACAATTTTTAAGTTCAAACCAGATGCCAAAATTCCAGATCTAAAGATCAGGAAGGCTGGCATTGAGCACCGTGGCATTGGTGATCCCGATGCAGTGGTGCGCTCCTCCTCAGAGAAGGTTCCCATTGCAAAGGACAGGGAACCAGGCTTCTCGTCAGAGAAGGAAGGTGCACCAGCCAGTGCCGCGGAAAAGCCCGTGCCGCCAAAGTTTCGGTATACTTCCAAGGGTTTTGATCCATTTTGGAAGGGACACAAGTCGAAACCATCTGAGCCTCAGAATGATTTAAAGGGTGATGATCTTGAGGAGTATGCTCCCTCAGAACCACCTGAGAGGCCAGAAGGTGAACTTGTAGAAATTCCTAAAGCATCAAAAGGACTATCAAGTGATAAACATGAACCACTTGAACCAGGTGATGGCGCTCTTGAGCCTAGGCGGATTTCAATCCCATTACCTGGTAGTGAAGTTGTTGCAATGACACCGGCATATAGGAAGATGTTACAGAGACTGGAGGACAAGGTAGAGCTTTATAAGCTTCATGTGAAGCACTACCATATGAGTCCTACTCAGTTTCGTAGACGTGTTTCTATGTTGAAGCTTCCTGACTCTGTTTTAGAGAAGTATGAATCAGTTGTCAGGAACTGCCGTGTTTGTAACACTTCAGTGGCACCTCCGCCACGAGCCAGAGTCTCCGGTATTAGAGCTTCATGTTTTGGTGATGTTGTTTTTGCTGATCATTGTGAGGTTGAACTTCACAAGAACAAGTATATCATATTACTTGTTCTTGATGGTGCCACAAATCTTCTCTGGGCTACGGCACAGAAAGACCTCATAGATCAAACCACCATCCAAGCATTGAGGCAATGGTCTGATGAGAACAACTGTGTTCCAAAGGCCATCGTAGGAGACGAAGCCTTTTTCACCGATGCTTTTGTTGAATACTACAGGTTCCATGGTATACAACAATGTCCTTGTGGGCCAAGAACTCCTTGGCCGAACCGAGCAGAGACAGCTGTACGTTTGTTCAAACGTATGTGGCATGTTATGAAGGTAGATCTGGATGACCCACGTTTTCGTGGTGTTACGGTCAGAGAAGTGGTCAAGAAGGTAGTTTGGGCAAGAAATTGTCAGTTGACTATCAGTGGATACTCACCAATAGAGATAGCAACTGGAAGACGTCCACCAGATCTTTTTGACCTTGAGACCGCAAGCCCTGAGCAATTGTCAGCTAGTGCCGCCGCACAAGACCGTACAAATTTGGAACTACAACGTGTGGCTTTGAGAGCTCATCAAGAAGCACGACAAGCTCAGGACCTTCGAGCAGATCTTGCAAGAAGGACTATGCCAAGTGACGGTCCTTATTTCCAAGGAGAGAAGGTTTTTATTTGGACTCAGGATTCATCAAAGTTCAAGGATAAAGGACGTTGGGTTCGTGCC